ACAGTGCCTTACTTGGTCTCTAGACCTAAGAGCCGCGCAATTTTTACCTGTACGGTACCTTACCTGATCCCCAGACCTAAGAGCCGTGCAATTTTTACCTGTACGGTACCTTACCTGGTCCTTAAACCTAAGAGCCGCGCAATTTTTACCTGTATGGTACCTTACCTGATCCCCAGACCTAAGAGCCGCGCAATTATTACCTGTACGGTACCTTACCTGATCCCTACTAGTAGACCTAAGAGCCGCGCAATTATTACCTGTACGGTACCTTACCTGGTCCTTAAATCTAAGAGCCGCGCAATTTTTACCTGTACGGTACCTTACCTGGTCCTTAAACCTAAGAGCCGTGCAATTTTTACCTGTACGGTACCTTACCTGATCCCCAGACCTAAGAGCCGCGCAATTGTTACCTGTACAGTGCCTTACCTGGTCTCTAGACCTAAGAGCCGCGCAATTTTTACCTGTATGGTACCTTACCTGATCCCCAGACCTAAGAGCCGCGCAATTATTACCTGTACGGTGTCTTATCCCAAGACTTATAAGACACACGGTGACAGGTAAATATTGGTAACCAAATATTAACGTTACTGCTAATAAATTTGGTCCCCATAGTTAACGTTACTAGAAGCCATACAAATATCAGCTTTAATACAAGGAGGTTCTAGGAAGTCCTAGTTTAATACGAAGAGTTTCTATACTATTTATAAGGTGCATTATCTGGTCCCCAGAGCTAAAAGGCTAAAAGTTATGCAAATATATTCAAGGAGGCTTAAATTGTTAAAATCAAATCTCCTTGATATAATTTTTAACGTTAACTGTTAGCTATATGGAGTGTTACCTGGTCCTCAGAGCTTAAATCCCCGCAAATATGATCTGAACTGTGCTTTTCCTTGTCCCCAGAGGTAAGAGCAACACAAATGCAGTGAATATAGACGTAAAATTTGACGTTTTTGCAGGTAAATCGAGGGAAAGACGCAGGTAGCCCTCCCCATACTACCGAAACTGAGGTATTGCTGCAGCATATGAGTAGCAGTCCAGTGTCCTGACCAATAGCAGCGTGGCTGTTCATCGTGGCTGCTCTGTGGAAATTTGAGCTGGCGATACCTCCAACAAAAGAATGAGGCCAATCACCGCAGGTTAACCTTTGACACAAAACTGTTTGGCCCGTGCAGCAGCGCCATCTAGCGATATCAGTACAAAGCGCTTCCAGTCAAAATTTTTGTAACATCAGGACGTTTTATCAAGTCCTTGGTTTAATCAGCCAGTGAATTTGCAAACATTAAAATAAAAGCCTGTAAAACATACATGGTGTTTGTATTTGATCTCTGGAACTGTATTTATTGCTCCAACTGTTTACTAAAGTGACTAGCAACAACATCAACTGTTAAATACATATAGATAACTTACTAGTAAATAAATATGGATACAAACTTCGTAACTAAAATATCTCTTGACTATGTCTCATTACGATTTTGTGACTGCAGAACAATGGATAGTGCTTGAAACAAAAAATCTAAGGAAACAATATATGATGACATAATAATATAGAGTTACATGTAACGTTACATACTTATGTTACAAAACCTCACACTTTACAGAACTTTTCAGATTACATGGTGAGTTTACCATACACATGGTTTCCATATACATGTATTCTGGGAACAACATTTCTATAACGTTGCATGTTTGTCAGGTAACGTTACATATTGGCAGTTTCTCAATTTTAAAGATAACAAGGAATGTTGACTTGGATATATCTTTGCAATAAAGGCACCTTTGTACTTTATTAAAAAAATTCATATCCTTTTGCCACTCTTCAGGACAAGCTATTTCTACTTGTCAAAGCTTTGTTCAAAAGCACTTGTTCTTAAATACATGTATCTGGTCCAGCCAGAACCCAATCACTAACTCGAGTGTGATGCTACATCTGTTTGGGAGAAAGTTAGCCCCACATTTGGAGCAGCAGTGGTTGGGGAGTCAGGTCCTTGCAACACTGTGTAGGGATGATCAAAGGAGGTTTCAGAGTTGCCTTTCAAACTGGATCCATCCTGATCTTCAAGACTTTCATAATGGTTCTGTGGTTTGGGGGTCTGGTAGTCTGATCCCTGGTTGGGGGTGGAAATATCAGGAAGCGCGTATGGAGAAACGATGTTTGGTTCATCGTAACCATGGTTCTGTGATGGCGGGTTACGCGTAATGTCTGGTAGCAGGTACGGAGGGACTGTTGGTTCAGTGTAACCATGGTTATGTAACGGGGGGCTCAGAGACGTGTACACGTGACCAACATCTGGCGTGGCGTAAACAGGCGAGCTTGGCGGCTGGTCAGTCTCAACCAATGGCCTGTTCAAGCTCTGATAACCATTGCTGTTCGATGTGTTTCTATTCGCTGTTACAGGCAAATCGATATGTGTAGGCACATGTGAAGAAACGGTATTGAGATGTCCTCCAATAGGAATGTACACGTCCTCTCTCGGAATGCTGAATCGTGAGATCTGTGGACCTGAGATGTTGAGTGGCCGACCCTGTTCAACCCTCTGGGAGTCATCGGCATTATCCAGGGGTTCATCATAGGGGTTGTCAGGCAATCCCTGAATGAACACAAATCAAGTCATACATTTGTGAGTAATTTCATCAGGTGGGCAAGAGACTGTATAAAAAGGCCTGAAGGAAGAGACAGATGGTCACCTAAATGTATCAAATTTGGCATGTTAAAAGAATACTATCTGCATTTTATGAGTTACAAATGTGTAGGGATGCTAAAGGAGAAACTATGGAGGGGATGTGTGAACTCTCTGGTTGCCTGCTGGAACTGTCTTCCCAGACACTGTGGTCTGGTTCCTTTATACACAATTAATCAGTTACAGAAGAGTGGACATCCTTCTATCAGGCCTTCAGCATACCTAAAAAATGTATTGTTACAGTAGTAAGGACATGTTACAGTTTTTGAATCACAGAAATACATGTACATATGCTGCAATATAAAATATTATAGAAGTATTTGAGATTTGGAACCTACGTTACGTACCCCTTCATAAATCTCATTTTCCACATTGCCCTCCTCACTGTGATCATCGTCATTGTGTTCCACGCTGTGCAGGAGTCCCTCGGACAGCACGCTGGTCCGCCCGTTCTGAAATATGGCGTCCTCGTAGCTCGGGTTCTCCACACGACTGGTGTTGATCTGGGAAAGGAACAATGTGATACATTCCTCAATCAAAAACCAGGTTTCAATGTTAGTATTTTCACCTGACTGTACATGTACATTGGTTATAAGCTGTAATGGTTAATTGTGTCTGGAGTTGTGTCAACAATTGAGACAGCTTGTACATTACTTGGACACTATTGCATGACCTGGATACTACTAGTCCATTCCCTGCAACTACACTACAGGGAGGATGCTTACCTATTAATGTGTCTATAATTTTTAGCAATCTACTACATGTAGTAAGAAGTTGCATCTGTGTGCTTGATGTGTGGTTTTGAGAGAGGGGATGGAAAATGGTAGATGTATCTGTACTCACCCTGTTGTGGCTCTGTCTTGTATCCAGTTTGGAAAATCTGCAGAGTTTATATGCAAAAACATTTTTAGTATGATTAGTTAAGTTTTTACTCAAATATGGAGTCAGTTTCCTACAGATCAAACAAGACACTAATCATTCAAAGAAATTTTAGTAAAAAATCTTGGTACAGAGAGGCAGACCTCATCACTTACCTTTTCCGTTTCTTCCGACGGTAAACCAAGATCACAACTCCAAGTGACAACACAGCAGCCAGTAGAACTCCTATCACTGTACCAGCAATCAGCCCAGAGTTGTTACCTGTGTCATCTGATGCCATCATCATTCCTGTAGACAGGAAACAGGCATAAGGACTACAAACACTTAGAGGGCATTATACGATTATCAAATATCTGATTTGATTTGATTGGCATTGTGAAAATACAATAAACATGGGACACAGGCAGCTATTGCTGAAGTTGTGACAATAATTAAAATGAATAAAAGACATTAAAATTGATCTAAAAACCAGCAAAAACAACATGACATCACTGTTATCTTTGCTTGTTTACTTGAAACATATTTGTCTCCCTACTTATGGTACAATGGTCGTATTTGATGCAATCAAAGTAGTCTAAATAGAAAATATGAAATGAACAATTATACTGTTGATTGCTGATTTTAGAAATATAAAAAATACAGATATGTTTTGTACTGACCTGTGGTGTTTGACAATGTGACCGTTTCTGTTGACAGAGATTGCTGTGTCCTGGTTGTGTACAGAAAAGTTGGAGTAAACACAGGTGAACCCTTCTCGGTTGGCTGAGGGCCTTCTCGGGTTACAGTAGTGTGGGTCGGGGGCGGTGTTGGGGGGTGGGTCGGTTCAACATCTGTTTCACAGGGGGTACCTGGTATATCTGCAGAAAAAAAAAACATCAAAGATTTCTTGTGGCTAACGTCTACTAACATTATTCTGCATACATGTATGTTTGCCTGAAAAATGCATCCAATGCAACCTCTCCTAGTATAATGCACTCCGGATCCTGCATACATACCTGGAGGTGTACACACTGTAGATATATCTAGTAAATGTGACTGGAATTTAGAAATACATGGCATAAAATCTAATTTCATTCATTACAGTTCTTACAACAACAAGTTTAACGTAACCAACTGAGGCATGAAATACAATTAGAAGCTACTAGCTGTATGTACAATTAGATCCTCTAAGTTTCAAACACTTACGGAGACGCGTTCCTCTGGTTTTAAACACGATACAAGTCGTGTCTGGCTCCTGGTCGTCTGTTTCCTCACCTTCCCGCCCTTTGCCCCGGTCTGGGTTATGGCAGTTGATTTCCACCTTTATGAGCAGGCCCCCAAATTGTGAATGGTACGGTCCAAACTGGAACTAAGATAGGGGGTCATAGATTAGTGTTACAGCACTTACAATAGCAGACTTATACCGCAAACAGTCTTAGTAGATATTACCAGACTAAGTATATTATGATATAGAGTTACAGTCACTATATGGATATCATTCATAATCATACTGAGCTGTTTCTTATTGTGGTGTACATTAAGATGAAGAGAAAAGTTAGCAAATGATTTGAACAGCAGAGGATTCAGGTTTAACTTTGACACAATAGCAGTTGTTTTATGCAAAACAGTGGCTCCGGACCACCCAAAAGCATATGTACAGGAAGATTTAATATTGAAAATGTAGCATTAGTGCAGTTTGCAGTGGAAATTTTCTGTTACTCTGTGACAAAAGCAATTTGCCAAGTATGAATACAGCCAAGAATTCAAAACTGGTGAAATCATGGACAGCATAATACTAGTACTGATCTAAGGTCCACTAGTTTTGAATACTTGGGCTTGAAGGGAATACCACTGACAATGAATATCTGCTAAAATCTACATATGGTCTGCCACAGACATAGATAAGGTCGCCAAAAATGTTCCCACAAAAATAGACCACATATGAATCTACTACCCCCCCCCCATACGCACACACAAACATACACATACAAACATAGATACACACACACACAGGGAGTAAGCATTTCAACACTCACCACAAGAAACCATGCCCTTCCAGGTCTAGGTCTGTTAACTTTAACAAAATCATCCTCAACTCCTTCTCCAAGACATGAGAAGGGCCTCCACCTCCCGTCTTCCAGAAACCTCTGAGAGGACACGGAGCATGTCCAGTCCCTGCCTGGACCATAGCCATCGTTAGTCCAGTCCACCTCGTCCCAGTCCAGGACGTAGTTGTGCTGCTGACGACCCTCTGGTGGGTCCTGCATGATGTAGATCTGTTCTCCATCCCCAACTTCAAACTGGAGTTTACACTCTACAGATGGAAAGGGCAGTGAGTTAGATCTATGATTACAGAGTTTTGAGACTCAAGAAGAGCTTGAATTTTTTTTTCTGTTCTGAAATGTTATTTGCACCAAGAACCTTACAGGGTAACTATAATTATAACCTCCTTGCATGCGCCTATGAGAGACTTTCATCAAATACAGCAGCTACTGTGTCATTCCCTATTGTAACACAGGCTTCAGGACACTGTTAATTACTTGTAGCTGGAATGTGATTCACAACACCAGGCCTAAATAAAACCTAACATAAACTAGTAAATTTGTATCACACTCATGGCAGCATAGTGACAAAAGCACCTCAGTAACTTTAACGTGATTCAACGATGTACTGCATCATACAGTAACTGCTGTCTACAGATTATTACTGAATCTAGCTGAAACTCACCTTCTACAGCGCGGGAACATCTCCTGACATCTGACATGTAGGTGTCTCTGTTCTTACACATACACGCACACGACCTGTTCCCGTCAACGTCCGTAAACACGTGGGCTCCCCGCGCATCCCTCGATAAGCAGAAATCATCCACCCCAGCTGGGCATCGCTCCCCATCTACTGTCTGCACGGAGAAGTAGTCTCTGTCTGTCCTCGTAACATTGAAAGTTGCTGTGCTGAAACTTTGATTCCAAAGCCAAATCCAAATCCAAATGGACAAAAGAACAGCACTTTTCCTTTGTGACATGTTCTTTTCTGTGAATTTTTCACAACTGGGTGGTCTGAAAGTGCTTGGATGAGTGTTCAAAACTGCAGTTTTTCTTAGAAAACACAGTTTGATTCGTCACTGTGAGACTGCTAGACTTTGCAGACACCACAAGTTTCCTGGAGGCTCCCTTGTGGTTTAATATGACGTGAAATGGATCTGTGAACTTTCAGTGTCATGTGTGGGTGTATGACTCATACTCAAGTATGTTCCCAGAATGTTTGTAAAAATGAAAACATCGAAACTTTGAGTAGCCCAAGCGTAATTCCTTCAAGTGAAAGAGTCACTTCATAGTCACTTTGTCTTTAGAGTGAATTCTCTGAAAATGAAACAAACGAACAAAAAAGTTAGCGTTCAACTTCAAACGTGTAAACAAAATTTTGCATGCATATCTAGCATATTGTTTGTACTCCTTTGGCAATTCTGGCATTATCAAACGTTGAATAATTAACTAGGATGTGGGATTAGTCAACAGAAATACTTTAGAATGCCTTATTCCTCTAGGAAATATGCTATGGCAAACAACGGTACACGCAAAGATTATTTCCTGGACCTTTCTGGTTACTCGGTGCGGAGATGACCCATGCAAAAGAGGTGCTGTCCTAATTCCCACAAGGGTCCTCGTTAGAAAATTGATAGCCTTGTAGTACCCCGTGGTCTCTGACTCACCTTTGAACTTTCCCATGGCAGTGTACGTGCCTTAATAATGATACAGACGTCGCCAAATATAGCAAAGGCGGGGATACACCGCCAGCTCACAGCGTTTCTTTGTCATGAGCAAACTTCCTGTCACCCTTTGACCCCAAACCTGACAACACCTGTCAAAAGAGCTCTCTAGCGGTTTTCATAGAAACTGCATGTATTGAAATACTAATATACCAAAGTCCAAGGTTCGAGTTTTGCAATTGGCACACGTCGGGCACGATTCCTCTTCGCTGTTGTACGCCACTCCTGGAAGGTAGCAAATATTCCATTTAAAAGGTATCGAAATACTAGTATGCAGGTTAGCGCCGGTTGAATTAGACTTGTGTAGGTATCCTTACATATAAGTTTTATTTCTACCTGCTCATAAACGTACACTGTAACCCATGGTAAAACCACCAAAGGTGATACTTCTTATAGTGGCTCCAACTGTATTTCATTCGTCCCTGAATTAACAGGCTTTATTTTGAATGGTATCAACTTGTTTTTTATGGATTGAAAGGCAAAGAAATGGCTGTTAAAGCGTACGCGTGTAAAAGTTGTACAGCGTTTAATTGATTGTGACATGCTGTTTTACTTCATTGGCAGTCTGTTCTGTTGTGTTAGGTAACTGTCAACGTTAGGTCAAAAATTAACTGAAAAGTGAAGCCACGATGAAGCTACAAATTACGTTTATATGCGGTCTATACTAGCACTAGCAGTGCAAATATATGACCAATGTGTAATTATTGCACTCTAGACTATGCTTACTTAGTATATCATTACTCGGTGGTCAGTTTTCGTACCCGTCGAACTAGTACAAAGAGGACGTTGCCCTGTGACCTATGAACTTTTAGTGACCGCACCGTCGCTCTGAGTCTTCCGTTCTCATTGCTATCACAAGGATCGAGACTCGACTCTTATAACATTGCGTCTTTTTCACAATGCCCCGACTGTTAGATCACGGGAAGTTCTACCTGCGCCCCGGCTATTCCTTTGAGTGAGTATACGAAGAGGGAGGAGGGGCGAGCTAAGGCTAACTAGTAGTTTGAACATGTTCCGAAGTATGTAACGTTGTGCCTCTTAATTGTTTACAAATTTTGGTAACTTGGTACTACGATGAACTGATTCCGAAATGAACTATAGTGCGTTGATCACTCAGTTCTAAGGTATGACAGATCTATGCTTGAAAGTTCGGAAGACCCGGCCCCGGGACTCATGTTTACAGCCATTACGGTCGACTGACTGTGTAAATTTAGAACGCTGCATGCCCCGTGCTGACCTTGTTGGCATCATATATGGCAGACTGATTTGCTGAGTGCTGGCAACATGTCAACATATACAATTGCAAGATCTAGGTAAACGTAGGACGGGACTACATGTATAACGTTAATCACTTTTTACAATGCAATTTAGAATCTGTGTAGTGAGGCAATATTTTTTCAGTAAATCTTTGACCTAACTTTGATAGTTACCTAAACAGAACATTTATATACTAGTAATTTTTGTTTTGCCATGAAATTAACGTTACGTTTGTTTTCCTCATCATGAATTTTTTGTAGTCACGTTAGCCTTGGCTTAGAAGGGATTGAGTTTATGATGATTGTGTGAGTTATGAACTTTCATGCTATAAAATGAGTCGTGCAAGTGATTTGGAACGCAACATCTAAAATTTAATATAATATAGTCTGCTGCTAGCTGAATATAAGTAACAGAAAGTTACGTTATACATATTTAAATTATGAGGTGATGTCCAAATAATGACTTTAAAATGTTAGGCACACCTCTACAGATTGCGGTGTTTATTTTCTGTGTAGATGTGTACTCTGTGCAGAACGAAGCCGGGACGACCCGTTAATCCACCAGACGGGGGCTGGGGGTGGATGGTGGCCATGGCCGGGTTTGTGGTGAGCGCATGCTCGTACGGAGTCATGCGGTCCCTGAGCGTGTTCTTTGTGACCTGGCAGGACTACTTTTCTGTGACCGCCGCTGAAACTGGTCTGATCCAGTCCATCATTACAGGAGTTTTGAACCTGGCAGGTAAGAGAATATTAGATTCGACAATTTATCATCTTAGCCTATATAGAAGGTTATGTTTGTTTCCAGTAACGTTATTTATTTCTTTTAGCATCATAAATCAAGAAGCTAAGGATAGATTGTCATCCAATTTTAAATGTTGGTATGTTTCTTTGATATGAACGAAGAAAGTTACTAGATTTTGGAGCATGGTGGCTTTCCATGGTACTGAAATGGACATCGCTTAAATGAACTACTGTACTTTGGCCAAATAGCACAGATTACGGTCACAGATCACACACACACACTCCTAACCCCCCATTTTTTAAACACTCCTCCCTAGCACCAATCGCTGGAGCTCTGAGCAACAGGTTTGGATGCAGAGTGGTGGTCATGGCCGGCGGAGTGATATCTTCGGCAGGATTCGTGCTCAGTCTGTGGGCCACATCACTCTTTCATCTCTACGTCACTGCTGGGTTTATGACAGGTGCCGTTTGTTTCACTTGTCACTTGTAACTATTATAACTAGTTTATGGCTGTTGACTAAATTTTTTTACTAGTACTGAATGTAGACAATTGCATTATCATCACTTATACATCTTATATTATAGGATACTTTTTTTTTCAAATTTGGACTTAACATTGTAGAGAAGATATCGAAATCATGTCTTGGTAGTCCTTCGGAGTCGATATCGAAATCATGTATATCCCGTTTTTAATTGGGGTATAACAAAATCAAAAAAAGAGTGAAAACTAGACAAGAGAGACAGGAGGTTTTTTAACTATTTTCTTTTTTAGTCCTTCGGAGTCGATATCGAAATCATGTATATCTATCTTAATGAATTTGATAACCCTGCGATGTTTACGTTTTATCACATAGATGATTTTATTTCCCCCGTCTGCAGGATTTGGAAACTCCCTGTCCTTGATGACTACCATGGCAACCATAGGACGATATTTCACCACTCACAGACTCCGCGCCAACAGTATCGCCGCTATAGGTGCCAGCGTCGTGTCTTTCGCGTTCCCTCCTTTATTCCAGTACCTAATGGACGAGTACACTTGGAGGGGTGCTTTAGTTATCATCGGAGGGATCGTGCTTCAGGTAGCCGGGTTTGGGGCGTTAGTAAGACCCATTGTGCTTAAAAGCGACGTCACCACAGATAGAACTCCAGAAAAGGTCAAGGATTCTTCAACACAAAGTAGTAGATTGTCAGGAAACAGTACAACTGTAAACTTCACGACAGAGAAGTATTCTTTAAACAGAGTTATCTTAGACAAAATAGGTTCTGTCCTGGATATCAGTCTGCTGACAGAGTCACGTTTTTTGTTGTTTTGCCTGGCCGTTTTTCTGTTCGGATTCGGCCGGTTTGTTCCTAACATCTACATCGTTCCACGCGCGCGGGCCTTCGGGGTGGAAGAATATCCCTCGGCTTTTCTGCTGTCCATCCTGGCCATAGGAGACATCGTGGGCCGAGGGTCGGTGGGTCTGCTGCCGGAGTGGCCGAGGTTCCGACGGGTGGACCAGTTCGCTATGAACTCGTTTCTCATGGGCTTCATCACCTTGTTCGCACCGCTTGCGAAGAACTACGTCACCATGGCGGTGTACAGTGCGTCCTATGGTTTACTGATGGGCGGGTGTGTTCCGCTCCTGTACTCTGCTATCGCGGAAATTGGGGGAGCCAACAGGATGTCCAGCGCTCTCGGGATCATCATGTTCTTACGAGGGATAGGAAACCTCGCAGGACCACCCTTTTCAGGTGAGTATTCTTTCAGTCAGACGCTCACATATCATGATACTAGTATTTTCCATGGTAGTAGTATACCATCATAGCCAAAGTCCTAGGCCTTGATCTGTGCATCTTGGCATATTGATGGCTCTTTGGCTGTGGTTAGTGATGTATTTTTTCCAAACTTACTTGTATATTAGGTTTGTAGAACTGTATAAGAATAATTTCCTTGCATATGTTACTAGCATGCTAGCAACATATCCAGCTAATACATATGTCATCATGTTGATGTTTTTGAAACATGGTAGACGTTTTTATGATTTTGTATTTTATGTTGCCTTTATTTGTATCAAGCAGGTTGGCTACGTGACATCACAGGCAGTTTCGACGCCACCCTGTTGGAAGGTGGTGGCTGCTTGGTGCTAGCCGGACTGCTGCCGTATCTACTTCACCTACGCGTGTTTCAACCCGCACAAACGGAGGACAAAGTCGGCGAACGTGAAACAGACGGTACCAGGCTATCTCTGTTGGCTGCAGAGCCGGAGGAATCGAACACAGCCTCTACCCAAAATCATGAAACAGTGGTGGTCATAAGAGAAACTTCCTTGTGAACTTGATGCAATGGACTCGATTATCACGAATAATAATCATAATAATATTGCAATGCTGTATTTAGAGATTAAACTGCATGTCAATGAAATATGTTTCCATACTTTGTGGCGATAGAAAGGGAGGGCTGTATTTCTTTTGTGTTTGCTGTTAACGTGGAGACCAAGCAAAGACCGCGGGCAAGGGAAGACTCGAGAGCAAGGACAAGGATTCCGTTTTGACACAGGACCTTGTTGCAATTATCGCGCAGCAATGTAGCTTGTAAATTCTTATTTTGAAGCCTGGAAGACTACCATAGCATGCGCAGCTATTTGCCATTTTGAGTCTCTCTCTCATTTTGAGTCTCTCTCTCTCTCTCTCTCTCTCTCTCTCTCTCTCTCTCTCTCTCTCTCTCTCTCTCTCTCTCCCTCCCTCTCTCTTCCCTCCAAAAACTTTCCTCTCATCTGAGATGATGATACAGGAACATACAACTGAACGGCGGCATGGGTAGATGTCATCTTTATGTATTTTCTGAATACACTGTCATGTTGGGGGAAGTCCCCCAGTCTTTCCTAGACAGAAAAGCCTTTCTTTCTAGCTTGCTTCCAATTGTTTCACATGACAGAAACTGTCATCAAAAGGGAACCTCATGCCTGCGAGCGGGAAGTCCCGGACCTGTGCCCAATGACAAAGACGAAAGTTTGGATAGCGTATACGTAGTTCTCGTTTATGTGGCATATGTATCGCGACTTTGCCGCAGAGAATAGATACATGCGGGATCCAGCAAGATGTCTACCGTATCAATTCTGCTTCTGCCGGTGGATACACTTTTCTCTTACGGTTTCTGGGACATCGCCGAAAATGCGTACGCGCAGATACTTCAGCAAGCATTAGAGGATGATGACAGCCTGTTGGAGATTTCTGTCTTAAAAAGCATCGGTGATGTCTATCTCGAGAAGGGACGGGTCAGTAAAGACGGTAAAGACTTCACCAAAGCCTCGGCCTTGTACAACGCGGCCCTGGTGCGCTGTGCGGACTGGGACGGTAGACAGAGCCTGGTGCACCGCATCAAACGTACGGAGAAATGCTTCATGAGGTACGTGGCTGGTGTCCATGATACTGCGGTCTCTCCTCGCAAGGATGACATTGCTCGTAAAGTACAACTTCAGAAGATAAGAGTCTATTGCAAAGAACAGCTTCGGACGCTTTCTTCACGTGCCAACTGCCCCTATATATATAAAGACAACCCCATGGAGAGTGAAGAGGCACGAAATGCCGAAAGAAGACGAACAGAAGCGGTCAGGTCGCTGTACCACTACGTCACGGTCAAAATGAAGCAGTTCAGTGCTGACATGGTAGAAGAATGCATCGAAACACTAGGCCCAGTCCCGTGCCAGTATGCCATGGTAGGAATGGGGTCGATATGCCGGGAGGAAATGACGCCATACTCGGACCTGGAGTTCGCCATTTTGGTAGAAGAAGGGAAGTGCACGGATCAAACCAAGACCTACTTCCGCACCCTCACTCACTTGTTTCATTTGAAAGTTTTAAACCTAGGGGAGACGATCCTGCCATCTATGGCAATCAAAAGCCTCAACGACTTCAACAACAAGGAAACTGACTGGTACTATGACGATACGACACCTTGTGGGTTCAGTTTTGACGGCTCCATGCCCTGGGCGAGCAAGACCGCCCTCGGCAGGGACCAAACCTCGTCCAAACCCGCCTTAGAACTCATCATGACTCCCAGCGAAATGGCGGAGCTGCAAAAGGACGAGCGATCAGTCAAAGAAGGATACCATCTAGCCGATGTCCTCTGTAACGTGACTTTGATCTCAGGTGAGAAAACTTTGGTAGAGGCTTACAGAAACAAGGTCCAGGAGTTGCTCGATCTTCCCTCACAAGTAAGACTCGGCTTGACAGTTAGGGCCCAGAGGGCGTTAGCAGCATTGAAAGTCTTTCCCATTGCAAGAGAATCTATCTTGAAGCACTTCCCATTTTTGGTTGACCCAATCGATGTCAGGGTGGTCAACGTCAAGAAGGTTTTGTACCGTTTAGGTAGTTTGATTGTGGAATCACTTGGCGTCATGTTCAGCTGCCTTGGTGAAAGTGTGGAGGCCACCTTGAGAAATCTGTTGCAGATCAAATCTCTGACGCCAGAGGCATACCATAATCTAAGTACAGTTGTCGCTATCGTAGACGAACTGCGCTTGCGTACATATGTAGGAAGCAGAGCACAGAGAGAATTACTGGGGTATGGTTATAGAACTACATGGAAGGGGAAATTCAAGGTGTACAATCTAAGCAACCAAGAAGACCATATCATTTTAAATCGGATGATCTACACCTTGATACCTCTGTGGGCCTGTCTTGATAATTTTCTTACTTCGGCAGACAAAATGGTTCATGCGTCTGTTCTGAAATGCCCCGTATGCAACATTGACGTGAAGGAGATATCAGATCGGTTGATTGACATTTGCTGCTCTGCTTTCAATGATACATATCAGGATGACGTTTGTACTGCCATGGTTGTAAGCATGTTAGTGGGTGACTTTCCTAATATATATGGTTACTCTAAAGGCCATAGTGTTGATATGCTTTTAAAATTGCTCAAATTGCTCGGGAAACCTTTGGACACTCGCGCATTTATGAATGTTATCCCTGTAGTATTCATGCATGCTATGTCTAAATGTGGTTCTGTGTTTCGGAATGCTTTTCACGGCAGCCCATTAATGTCTGTAATTGAAGGGAACATTTCTGTGATGTGTTGTGCTGCTTTTTTTGTATCTGCTAATATGTTCTATTGCACAAAGCACATCTATTTTGCACGCCAATTGCTAGATCTTGCTATTGCTGAGCACAGCAAGTGCAAAGAAAGTGATTTTCCTTTAGAGGATATTGGACGGTCTTTCTACAAAACTTGTGTAGAACATATCGGCAGATTGTCCGCTGGCCTTGGTGATCATGAAACAGCTATCAACTATCTCGAGCAAGATCTCCGATTAGAGCTGTCCTTGAATAAAGCGGAGTACAGTCGAGAAAATGAGATGACGATTCGTTTCCAGCTGTGGCAGGTCTACACCGAGATGTCCATGCCAGAGGAGGCAGAGAAACACAGACTTGGATGGATACACTGTTTACATCCATGTTTATCGGAAGTTATTAGTATCCTAATGCTTCAGGGAAGAACGTCTCTTCAAGATGTACAGTGTCAAACAATTGAGGACGGGTTTCAGACGTTCGGAGAAGCTGTCGACAGTGACAAATTCGTCGTACCGTGGGACCTCGCAGTTTACATACTGAACTATTCGGCGCTTTTGGAAAACCAGAAGCGTCATGCAGATGTTGAGCGACTGTTCGAAACTGTACTAGACAAACTGGGCCAATGCGAGGACGTGGCTGATTTTGACAGGAAAATATATCCAACAATGTCAGTATTCCAAGCTGCATGCCTGTTCTACATGAGGCAAGGCAATCGAGAAAAATCATTGAAGTGCCTCCAAACTGTTCTCAAATGTTCAGCACATATATTCAGTGATGATTCTGACATCAACGTGTACACTGATCAAGCCAGCATGAATCACATCCACTTCTGCACTGCTGTACTGAACTTCCAACACAGCTTGAGGTACAAGGAAGAAGTAAAGAAGACAATACTCGCTGACATCGACAGGGTCTGTTCCATTGTATTATATCGTGCAACAACGTTCGGACCAAAGCTAGTTGAAACGTGCACTGACTGTATCTATACCTCTGGAAAGACACTAGAGAACACGGGAGAAACTCTGGCAGCAGTAGAGATGTTCCATGTTGGCCTGAAGATTTGTACCTCACAAGAATCGTTCGCCAAAGCGCTTGTCTTTCTGACGTCTATGTTCAGAGCTCGTGGAATGCTGTAAAAGGCAAATGTCACAAACAATACTAAGCCGATTGACATTTTCATTGTTCAGACAGATGTGTAGCTGTTTTCCCTGGTTTCATTTCTTTGTTTCTTGTAGGCTGTGTTTGAATTGAATTGAATTTAAATTGGGAAAGCTTAACTTAGTCTCTCATTGGACACAGCTCTATCAACTATGTATTGTACAGTTGAGTTAATCTTTCATATAACATTGTATATACGGTAAGCATCATTGAAGGATAATGTGTAAATGATAGGTCAATGCAATATTTAAAGGAGGGTTAAAATAGACGCGTGTACATGTGGTGCCAAATGAATGAAATTGTGTTGGTCCCTTCTGCTTTTTGTGACCTTTGATGATACGTGATTACAGTCTGTCTCAATATAATTTCCCACTCTTCCTCGTTTGCCTAGCGTCTACTTCAGTCTGATAACTTGAATCTTAAATATCCATTAATTGCCGTAACACAGAAGTAAATAAACATCCCTGGTCCTAATTATCGCCATATTTTCCCAATTTTGCCGTAGTTTCTGTATTTTTGCTGGTTTCGCCAGTAGCCATCTTGCATGACTCGGCGAGGTCACTGGGTGAAGTTTTATCTCACAAACGACAGAGTCGCGAGAATGCAGAACTAGAGCTAGTAGTAAACACCTGCAAAACCACAATACAGACTGCACTATAACGTAAAAAAAAGGATGGTTCCATTCTCCCACGGCCACACAATTCCACACGATAACGTTACCACACACTCAATACATCATATATTCCAATCGACAAAAGGTTTTACCAGATATCATAAAGATCAATACTCACATACAGACAGGGCACAGGTACAGCAGTACAGTATGTACACATAAGGGACCAGGTTTGCCACGCTAGTAAGTGTAACACATCAGAATGCTGCCAAGGTAAGAAACATAACAAGAGTTCCACGATCTCATACCTTCGCCAGATTTACGACTGAAGAATTGCAATGTTTTTCATTTATTTTGCAAATAATATACTCATTTGCATAAATCATTATTTTCTCCACCCAAGGACCTCCAAAATTTGCCGAATTACGAAAGTTAGAGACCTCCAAAAATTTCCCAAAATTAGGGACCTCCACCACAAATTACTGAAAATAAGGGACCTAGCTCCAAAAATTTCCCAAAATTAGGGAAACACCCGTAGGCTGAGAAAAATGTGTAAATTTATAAATAGATGTTATTTGTGTTTTCAACCGAAACAAGTTTTAAAATCGGCTTTGCAAACGAGTATAGGAAGGAAGTGAAAGACATGTGACAAGGGAGTGAAGAGAAGTGATAGCTGGGTGTTACCGAAACGATGCAGAAAAGGGAAGTGTGAAGTCATGGCTCATGTGACGGGACTGACAACGGCTGAGTCACATCACATCGGCCTCGTTTCATAATCAAGAGGAAGTGGAATCCCATTAACCTAGAAAGCTTAGTCAGTGATAGGGGTGGCGATGATCCATGTATTGTTACCAGAAAAGCTGAATAGGGCTGTATAGAAGACATTTGCCATAATGCAGCATAACATATAAAGAAGCAATCATTAGTAATTGTCAGGCCATTATGAACTTCCTGCCTTCTCTGATGTATGTTTGACGAATTCTAATCTTACCTCTGCAGATGTTTGAAAACTCTTTCTAGTATTCATGATTACAAAAGTATAGATTTAAGCTGTACTGAGGGGGATGTAAGTAAACGGGTGAATTCCCCTTGAAGTAGAACCGTAAAGTGAGCCACGCCAGCAATATTCAAATGAGTAAATATGTACATGTAACAAAACGCATGTACATATATACTAGTATGCAATGATGCATTACTGTTCCCGTTCCTCTTCTTACTTCTTTTGTATTTACAAATTCACAAAAATTTATTTAAAAAATTGATAGCAATGGCAACGCAAAATCACATAATTACTAGTGCCAGTTACTCTTAAATAATACTATCGGTGAGACCACTGTACCGCGGGTAACTTAGACTTGTTATTGGTACCAAAAGGACTCACTTCATGATAAATTGTCCCTTACCGACCGTACTAAAATAACGGAGGAAAATATTATCGAGACTCCTCCTCCACAAACATGCCAGGGGAAGTAATAGAGGAACCAATAATTGTGCAAATACGAAAGTACGAGTAGCTACTCAACATGTTCCCTTGTAAGGCCACACCAAGTAAATTTTATGGATGACGTCCTTTGGAGACCCTAAATCTAATGCGAGAGTGCGAAAAAAAAACAAGTAGGGCCCTAAAAAACAAGATGCCTAGATTAGAAATATACTAAGAGACGACAAATGTTAGGACACAAATTGAATGAGGTGACACAGTGTAACAAGCAAGAAGACTTTTATTCATCATCAAAACAGCAATAAGTCAGGTGGAACAGCAGTTGTCGTCCTTTCCTGTTTTCGCGTTACGGGTTTCACGTCAATCTGACGATTTGCAGCACTGTCATGACTCTTTGGTCATAGTTACAGGAAGCGGAATTTCTTGTTTTTTTTCTAGGAACAGGCGAAAATCAATGCGCGCGCGGACGTCATCCATAAAATTTACTTGGTGTGGCCTAAGTGGTATATATATTTGAGCCACTGCCTTTGCCATAGAGAAGAGCAACGGTTCCTTTCTACAACAATGGCTGCTTTGTCAAATCAGTTTCTAGCGGAGGATGTTCTCTTTTCCCATGGGCTATTAGACATTGCTGAGGAGGCATACTCGCAGATACTCAAACATGCTTTGGAGATGGATGACAAGCCGTTGGAGGTTGCCGCCCTTAAGGCCATCGGTGACGTTTATCTCGAGAAGGGACGGCTCAGTAAAGACGGTAAAGACTTCACCAAAGCTTCGGCCTTGTACAACGCGGCCCTGGTGCGCTGTGCGGACTGGGATGGTAGACAGAGCCTGGTGCACCGCATCAAACGTACGGAGAAATGCTTCATGAGGTACGTGGCTGGTATCCGAAAGCATGTCCCATCTACTCGCAGGGAGGATATGAATCGCAAACTACAACTGCAGAAGATTCGCAAC